ACGGCGCCCACGCCGCGGTACGCAATAAAAACGGAAAAGAATCATGTCATATAAGTTGTACCTACTTTTTCTTTCCACGACAAAGACAGCTATGATGATAAAAATCTTTTTGCGTCCGCATAATATCATAATAACTATGTAAATCAGAGCGGGCAAACCAGCCCACAAACACAATCGGGCATTCGTATGCTAACATCCCCATCCTCCACCCGGGCCTGCCCGCCTGCCTGCATTTCACTTTGCTAGGTGCTATACATACCTATGTTCCACGCGTATACATCTACGTATGTATACATATATATATCTATGTACCCCTGGTTACCTAACTCCGATAACGAGTTCAGTCTCCGAAAAAAAGGACCGTTCTACCACCTACTTTCGAGCATTATCCATGCGAGCTATGCCGACGTTCCAACAAATCTTCTCGCCCGCGCCTCACCGCAAAAACCATTCCGCTCGCGTGCGAACCCCGTCCCCGCTTCCTCCAGCGTCGGTTCGCGACTATTTTCGAGGTCGAAAAACGAGGATAAGTTCACCGAGGAGTCAGAAGACGGCGCGGGTTAACGAGCGAGTTTAACAGATAGCGAAACATTATCTCCCCGTTGATCCGATGAGGAGAATCGGTTCCGAAAATTTTGTCTTAATTCTGATCCTACAATTCTATCGAGTCTTTCTTTTTCGCGGAACAGTCAGGCGTGTGGAGAGCGTTCGCGTTTAATGAATTTAATAAGCATCGTAAACGTGTCGCAGCGACAGACGACGAGGACGAGCGAGAATTTAAACGCGGGGAACGGAGGAAGAGAGACCCGATGCTCGATGCCGCCGCATTTATTAATCGTAATGGTTATGTAATTATAACTGGTTCCAGTGCATCTATTGTCGCCGCGGTAATAGCTCTTATTATTCGTTACCTCTCGCTGACCCATTTTACACGCGGATTCCCTACTTTCCGCGATATTAACGCATTGAGTACTATCTAGCCCGCGACGCGCCACGTTCAATTTGTATTGTATTACGGTCGAATGTAATTAAATTGATCGAATTACACGCTGCATTGCGATAAAAATCGTATTACGAAAGCGGACGATTCAACGAACTGATGCACGATTAATTAAAACGGCGCGGCTTTGCAATGCCAGTCCACCGTACGGAGAATTGATTTTCTATAAACGCCGTTGCCGATACGTAATCCTTTTATTCGGGCAGAATACATTAAAGGCTTGCCCGGTGACCGCGGCCGTTTTCGTTTCACTTTTCCCGTCCACTTAGGCAAACAGTAATATCGTCCCTCTGATAAATGGATTCGACTTCTTTTCCCCAGACCTTTCCCCTCCTCGAAGAGGGACGATTCTCAGATTTGCTCGTCAAATATGCCCGGGGATTTAATAAACGCAGCGTCTCCCTAAAGTTTCGCGATGAAACTTAAATATCCCTGAAATGCGAGCCCCGAGCGTAAGAGTAGCTGCCGTGGCACGACGTCGACCGCGAACGTGCCGCGAGATTCCCATACTTAGACCTAAACCCTTCTACTCGTTTTTCGCAAATTGATGCTTCTGCAGGGATAAAAATTTGCTGACAACGGGCAGCTACGCTCCTCCAGTCGGAAGGGGAACAGAGAAATGTTTGCTCTTTTGGAAAGGAACTCGATTCTCCCTGGGAAGTCAAGCTGGATTCTGTACTACTTCTTATCTTCAAAGTTCCCCTGTTCCATCGTAATAACATGGAACTTTGTTAAACTCTCGTTCGAGGAAAATCTCAGTTGCCGTCGCTCCTCAACGTTAATAGCCGATTCAGGATAGCTACCCTGTTCCTGGCCGGGTCCACGCGAAACACATTGGGTTATAGTTTTCCATTAACGAGGAAATTTCGTCCCCTCTCTTGATTCTCACGAAACTAGAGTTTAGCGGACAAATATTTCGTTTCTGTTTTATAATCGGGACTAATAAAGTTGCAAAACGAAAAGCGTCGGGAGTGGAATCGTTAACGAAAGTGGTAGATAGTAGGAGAGAGGAAAAAGTGAGAAGTTCTCGCTTTCTCTCGGAGTTCCTCATATTTTCGTTCCAGTAGTGCTGGCCATTTCTCAGACTGTCTTCCCACCGGAAAACGATCGCAGTGTATCTTCCGGCGGAAGTAGCGGCCTCGGCTCGAAATAAGAGAGTAATTTGTCGAAGTTAGAACGAGGAGCAGGGGGAACGAAACGTATCTCCGGCCGAGTGATATGTATCTATATGAAACGCGGGGTAGGTAAGGAATCGCGTCGAGCGGAACATCTGCACGGTGTCCGCGATTCTTTATTCACGGTAAGAGACGGCGCGGCGGGGACATTGGCGACACGTAAAAACATTCTTCTTCCGGCCGCGTCGATTCGTCGTCGCGCCGTTCGAGAGAACCGACGACGAGACGCCGCGTTGCCCGTAAGATCTCTGAAATACGTCGAACGATATTTTATCCTGTCGCCACCGATGCGGCACCCTATCTCAGGAACCTGCGGGTGATAGATTCGACTCGAGGTTAAAAAAAGAGGCTCATTTTCTTCCGTTCCCCCGCGTCCTACCCCGTTCTACTGCACGGCTTTCAAAATATCATAGAAAAATTTCCAAATTTACGATTACCCCGGGATAACTCGACCAGGGAGAGGGGGAAACGTTATTGCCGGGCCTCGCTCCCCTTTCCCGTTCTTCTCGTATACGGATATCTGATGTATCGATCGTACCGTGTTTACTCTTCATGTTACACTCAAACTCGACGGGAAATATGAAAAATACAGGCACGCATCCGCGCGTATTAACGTTAAAATCGAGAGATGAGCGGCGGTACCTCGTCCCGCATCGCCCCGCCTCGTCTCTCTCTGTATTCATTTTATTTCATTGAGCTCATCCGTTCCCGCGTTGTACGATATCGTCAGCTTCGGAACGCGTTCAAAGCCCTTAAGCGCGTTCGTCGCTTCGAAGAGCGTATTATCAGCAAGCGAGACGGAAAAACATTTTTGACACCGATCGGCGAGGAAAAATTAGCTTAATAACGGCTCGCGAAACGCAAACAGGTCGTGATCGAAGTGTAAGTACGATCGAACTCATTTGCGATATCTAATAATTAAATTTGACGATCGACTGAATTGCGATATTCATTTTCTTATGACCAGAAGACGTGAAAAAGTTGATCATAAAATATGGATTGGACTGACTCGATGATCGTCAATTCGTATCGGTCATTTCCAAAGCGGTATTCTGTTTTATTCGCGGAGGATCGCGAGACGGTGGGACTCGCGCCGGTAGAAAGGCACGGTAACCTGTACAACGACGGAGATTGAATTATTTTTCTGCCGGAATAATTTTGCCATAAAATAAAAGCGACAGGAGCGAAACTGGCGTGGCGTGGGCACGACCGTAGGCGCACCCAGGCTTCCACCTCCGAAACGATCCGATGCGCTCCCACCGTTTCGTTTTCACTGTTTTCCCCGTTTTCCACCGGTTCCTCCAGCCATTCCTCTTCTCTTTCTTCTCCTTCTTCGTTTTACTCTCATCCACCGTTCTCGCCGCTCGGCTCGCGCGCCGCATGGCCACTCTGCCTCGCTCTGCCTCCCCTATTTTCCTTATATTACATTCTAGATACGGCCGCGAGGACGACGCTGCGAACTGAAAATTCCTTCCCCCTCCTGTTTCTGTCAGTGAATATCTTATCATAATAGCGTTTGGAGCTATTTTCCCAGGTTCGCCAGGGCCCAAACTCCACCCACGGCCCTTCGAAACAGCGAACACCAGCCGAACTTTATCCCGGCTCTCTCTCTCGAACTCGCGTAGGTGCCAGTTACGACTATGACCCCCGGTATCTTCGAGTATCGCTTCTCGTCGACGCAGCTGCAGCCCTCGCGCGTTTTTCCGTCCGATGCACACGATGCATTCAACGTTCCGGGTGCAACGCTTCCAGCGTCTTCCGTTCTCATTGCGCCCAGCGACGAATTCGCGTCATTTCCAAACTTTGACTTGTCTAGATAGAGCCATATGGCTCTGCTGATACGGGGATTGATTTCGTTTCATTAAAGTCATTTGCCTCGTAGGTCCAACTAGACTTATTTCGTAGAGCAATTCCTTGATTTTTATTTTCCAACGTTGCAGGAATTTTCTAATAATGTGACCGAGAAAAAATACGCGCAATGCGTCTCGCTGTTCGTTTCCACTCCGTGTGCATTTTTCCCAGGAGAACCGCGGTTTCCGGTTCCCGAAAACGCCTCCTGATATTTCTTGGTTAACGCGGCGGCTGTGGCGCATCGTCTTTGGCCATTAGCCACTCGACGGTGGATCCCATTGACAGGAAATTGAAACTATGCCTCACCCAGCGAGCGTTCGATATTACGCGCGCCAACAAGCTGTTAATCGCTGTCATTGCTCCGTCACGTACGCCGTAACGAGGGCAACGAATCACAGGCTATCGAGTCCGGCACCCGTTGTAAGCGATGCGAAATATTTTTCAAAATACGTACACGCGCACGCGACGCACACGTACGTAGGTCTATCGCGATCCCTCTCACCCCACTGGTTCTATAAATCTGCGGCTGTTCGCGCCGATAAAAAGCTGCGCGTTCCTCCGACACGAGAGGAAAAGTATCAAAGAGAAGCTAATTCTAAACGCGGCCTCCGTTACAAACTCGTTATGCGTCGCTGGTTGTAACGAGACTACCTTTGACGAAATTTTAATGAGACGCTTGTGAAACACGAGAATAATGAACGAAACGAAACGAAGGAAAAGGCAACCTTCTATCGCGGGCGTCACGTTTCTCGTGGATTGTTTTATAAAAGTTTCGATCGTTTTAAAAAAAGCTCGAAGCCTCATTGAAGCAGCGTACCGTTCATTTTTTAAGCAGTCAAAGTAACTGTCCCAACTGAGGGAACGAATTAAATTCGTTCATCGCTATAAACTCTCAATTAATACTACTCAATTAATTTAAAAAAAGAAAAACACAGAGGTTCAAATATTGATTCTTGGTGATTGGATTCTTGCAGATTTGCCGACGTTCGTGGGGTCAATCGGTAATGTGACCGCAGCCATCGGCAAGGAAGTCGTTTTACCGTGCACGATTCGAATGCTGGGAAATCACATGGTAAGGGATTTAAAGGTCGAAAGGAGGGAACCGAACGACGTGGAAGAGCTGGCGTGGCTGGCGCGGAACGTTAATTAGCCGACAGGCCGCGAGTAAACGGGTTCACGGGTCACGGTGCGATAACGCTAGCGAATTTCAGATTTCGGTAATCCCGTGGAAACAAATGGATCGCGTGGATGCTCTTGGCAGATGTCAGCGGTTCGCGTCTTTTTGTGATACCTCTCCTCGGTTTCTATCTGGCTTCAGCTTCTTAAGATGAAAGCACAGTGAGAACGTCGCGATCTGATCTGATGGCGGACAAATTATTCGTAACACAAAGTATTGAACGTTTATGCAATTATATAAATGCAGTTAACCGTTATAGTACATGGCAAAAGCCTCAGTTCGCTGTGCTCTCAGGGGAAGCGACTTTCAGCAGTTTTCCGCGGGAAGGAGAGACGACCGGTGAAAATAAGCCAAAACTTTGTCCATTCGCGGCGCATTCGCGGAGAAAGCCAGCTACTGCCGAGAGTTACCTCTTGACGCGGGTACACAATTCATTAAGCTCGGCGTCAAGTAACGAGACGAAATTAAGCGGCATTCTGCCTCGAGTGATTAACTCTTTCAGCTTGGTACACGCATGCCTGTACTACACCCCTGTTAGGCTCATAAGTCTTAGAACATGCATAATTTAACGAGACGTAGTAAGCCTGTAAACGAACAAACAGAACTTGCTCGCGTTTTAATTTAAAGTATAATTTCGACTGTTCCTAATTTATCATTTATTATACCGTGGCAACTGTGGTTTACCACGATCTTTCGGTTGAGACACTCCGACGAAATGTTCGCCAGATTTTTTGGTAGGCGATCTGTCTAGTGTAAGACACTGAACGTACGTATTCAGTATCTAGAGACGCGGTTGGTTCTTTTCCGAAAGTTTCGATTCGGAACCAGGAATTAACGTAAACGGGAAAGTTTGCGCGTCCATCATCGCCTCCGGTGATAGATTAAGGTTTAATCGAGGCGGAATTCGAGGCACAAGTTTTCCAGGCAGAACGCTCGCCTCCACCGACGTTTATGTTTATTTCTCGCGTTGTACAGAGTTACCGGGAAAAGTAAAGAGAGATGTTCGTCTTGATTCAGCGATTGATAATTTTTCGTCTCATTGTGGGAGTCACGGTGTATTAATACCGATTGCTTCTTTAACTTTTAACGAGGAATAGTCTGACCGGCAGGGGAGTGGGGGTGCAGAAAGGAGCTCGGCGAGAGCGAAAGACCGACGGTTGAAAAAGTTTTTAGGTGCTTAAGCCATGGTTTGCCCGCTGCCTCGCCGGTTTACACTTTTTTGCCCCGCAACAACGGAAAAACAACGAGAAAAATTTCGAAAGTTTATTTACAGCCGCGGGCTGCCGCCGACGCCAAGTCTACCGATAAAAGCTACAAATAGAACGAAAAATAAGAGGGTGGAAACAGTTAAAATAACGCCTCGGTGATGAGAGTAATATGCAACGGACCGTGTGGAACGCGTCGTGAAAATTTCGAATTTATGTCCGCAGGAAACACAATCCCCTCGTTCGGAGTAGTAACGCGAATCGGGCGTTGCATTTGTAGATGTTTGAACGGTAAATTCGCTGCCCCAGTGCTACTTGCCTGGGGCTGTTTCTAGTACGAACGCTAGATAGTGTCGGCTTACTGTTGAGCCACTTCTGGTTATTAATTGACTTACAATCGTATCGAAGAAGAATTGAACAAAATATAATTGATGCCATCGACTTACAACGCGATAATCTACATTATATTCCAATTTCAATTGTAAAGCCTACGAATCAAATTGGATTTGTCACTACGAGTCTTCACAATGAGTCTTTTCAATCTTTTGATGTATTTCAATAAACCGGTATTTGGAATTCTGTTCAAAATAGCGTCAACATTGGACAGGGCATTTAAAGTTTTTAATAAAGTGTCATTCACTCGTTTTTTTAGTTGGTTAAGAGTCATTGAACAAGAATTTTCGTCGTCACGGTTCTTCGATAATAAAATTTAAGAGTCACTTTGAATTTTATATGAAATTTCACAACAGTTTCACATATCACAGATTTCCCGGCTACAAATTCAAAGCTCAAAGGATATTCTCAATTTCCGAATGCATAAATTTAGTATTGAAACGTCCGAGTGATTGTTATACGTTCCGTATAGCTTTTTATATTGTGATCGTTGATATAGAATTTGTTTGCTGATATTTTTCATGAAGCCAGTAAATGTTTTATTGAAAAGTATGCGGTGTATGTACATACATATTTCGCGAAACACGGAATCGTCGATTTGACGTATCCACATTTTTTTGTACACAACTTTAATAAACAGAGCCAAAGAATTCACCACTTCATTTAGGATAAATAAAGAAAAAATATTCATTAGTAACTGAGCGTCTGGTTACGGAAAATATTTATGCGAGTTAAATTAAATTTTTTCGCGATCCTCTCATTCGCCCCGTATCGAGTAATTGTACACTACAAGCCATTGTTTTCGCGTTGCGATCTCGTCGCAACTTTTTATGTTTTAACGTTATAACCGTGTACGTCGTTCAATATTATTTCTGATTATCATCGAAAAATATACGGTTTTAATCGCGCTCTTCGAACGAGATTTGCACCCCCGCGAATACATTCCACGAAACTACTTCTCACGGCCCTTAGAACGCGATGATATCGGTTCCACTGCGTAGACTGACTTATTTCCATTTATGTCATTGAAGATATTTTTATTAAATCAGAGACGAACGAGAATAAGTTTGAGGCGACGATATTCACGGATTAAACTGTACTGATTTCAATGAATGAAACGAGAAAGATTTTCAGTAGAACGATTTCTCCAAAATTATAAGTACGTTGAAATGCCGGCAAAGCTCTATTTCGGTATTATTAAAGCACTGACCGACCTTCGAAAAAAACTTACGTACTATGAGTCTCGTTAGGACATGAGAACGTGTAATATCTTTCGTTTCGCCCGGATTGAAGAGGTAAGGTAATAAACAAAGCAACGGTATCGGCAGAAGGGTGTTTCAGTAAAGGCTTTTCTCTCTGTGCATCTATGTCGACGACGTTCGTCACGAGACGCGACAAAACCTGGCACGTATTCGCAGTTACCTCGAAGAAATCCAATTCGCAGGGAACGCTCGCAAGTGTTACTCCGCGACGACGTTGCCTCGACGACGACGACGATGTTGCTGATCAAAACTTCACACGGTCTCGCCTGTAACGGCGTACCTCCGCGAAATTCCTTTGATCCATTGTTGTGCTAACACGTTGCGCGCAAATTTCAGCCGACCGACCCTATTTTTCCTCGACAAACGTTACCCGTACCTTCTATTTCCCCAGCTTCCTTCCGGCGAAGACTCCAGTTAACCGTCCATGAATATATAACGCGGATTTACGGATCCGTGCTTTGGAAAGCACCGAAAAGACGAGACTGAAACGTGCGGGCACACGCAACGCGATCAATCCGTCGAGCGAGTCGTGGTAGCTTTCTCGTCACGAGGTAAGAAAATGGAATGGAAATAAAGAGAGGACGCCTGCTCCTAATTCGTATTCCGCAACGTGTGGAAAAATAAAAAGAGGCGTAATGAACAAAATCGATGGAATTGTTCGTCGCCAGCTGGTAAGCTCTGTTTATATCTGCAGTGCTCCTCTTTCTCGCGTTTCATCGTCCCAGTCCCGAACGATTTTTCTAAAGCACCGCTCTCACGAGGCGAAGGAGTCCCGGGACCAATACGGAGCACTTTTACGGTGGTACCTACACGCGACACTGTTTCGAGAAAGTTAAAAGGAAACGATTTGCGACCAACCTTCTCCACTCCCTTTAATCCGGATTTCTCAAAGTTGGATCAAGACAAAAGATGGGAGAAGACACAGAGCTGACGGGGCTACGGGAGAGGATGCTGCTGATCGTTCAACGCACAATCATTTGCACCGTCACCGAGGAATTCGGAACGAGCTGTGCGAGCACGCGACTTCAAAGCGATTCTCTCTCCGGTACTCCGGGGTTGGAGAAGACGTCTGGTGAAAGTAGAAGATTTATAGCTTCTGAAACTCCATCGGACATATTTGGATAAAGGTTCTCGCCTCCGAGGAAATTTCTACAGAGAGATTTTTGTCGACACTAGCCGAATATCGTGTACAAAATTCGGAGATACACGTGTAAATAATATCGTACACTGTGTACGTACAAACGAGGCAAAGGAGGCGACGTTTGAAGCGCGAGAAAACGGTAAGATGGTAAACCGATAACCGTGGATACCGGGAGGTGTGCGTTCTGAGTCGCTATAAATTGGACACGTTCATAGATCGAAACTCCGCTCTCTGGATATTTCCTGTTTGTCTGATTTTTCTCCTCGGGTCGGGAAGAGTCGCACCGGAAAAAGCAGCGCGGCGAAGGAAACGTCGCGTCTCGTCGACGGATAGGAAAAAAGAAAATAAAAGAGCAGAAGCAGGTGAAGAGGAAAAGGGGGCGAAAGATTCGAAAGTGGACCATTTCGACGGTAAATTTAATCAGAAATCGTTCTTATCCTTCTATTTATAGTCGCAATCCTCTGGCCGTCTATACTTTTACGCATAAAAAGCTCGTAAAAACCGACGAAGTACGACGGGATCGGACCTCTCAGAGGAAATAGAATTGCGCGTTTGCGACGAGAATCGAAGAGTGATCGATCGCGACGTCCAGAAAAAAAAGGGAAAACGATCGTCTTACGTTCGATACGAAGATTTTCAATTCACCTCGCGATTCCGTCGAAAAGGATATCCCGCATTTTCGTCACGTTCGATTGACGCGTCATTCGAACTAATGATTCTGCCTCCGAGCGGCGCGACGCTTACGCCGAGAAAATGACGTGCGCAAAATAAATTAGCATCCGAAGGAACGAGTTCACGGTTATTATTCCGCGTTGTCGATCCGACTAGTTTTCGTGTCGAAACAGCGACGATCAATCTTCCGACGGACGGGACGCTCGCGGCTAAATAAAATAAATTACCATCGAAAAAGCCGCGAGAAGAATAGAGCGATCGTCGGGGGCTCAGAGACCGAGGACACCAGAAGGAGTGAGTCTCTTCGTTCAAAGATCCTGGAAGTTTAATTGCCGTCGGACGACTCGTCGTCGTTTTGTACGAATCGAGCCGCCGCGTTATGAAAAGACCGCGGCGACGATCGACTCGGTACCAGTTTCATTCACAGACAGGGAACTTTCACTTCGACAACTCTGTCTCTTTGGATAGTTCCGGACCGAAACAGATTTTTCGTCGATCCCACGTTCCTTTTAATTGCGTTTTCCCCGCTCCATCGCGTCCCCGTCACGTACCGCGATTCCGGAGGATTCAATACCCGCAGGATCTTACAGAGGACCGATTTATATTGGCCACACATGACATGGTATACGACTTTAATTCAAAGATACGTTCGAAGTAAAAGGATTCAAAGAAATTGATAGAAAGTCGAGAGGACGATATTGGAGAAATGATATCGCCGCTTAATAGCGATAAAAAGACCACCGTCGATAAATGTTCTGAGTCATTTCGATTAAAGCGGACTTCCTTACATCGTCGAGTCAACGTTATTTACTAGTACAAAAATCTCACACGAGTTAAATCCATGCAGCTTTGGCGTTACAAATCAATCTCGAATCGTATCATGATTCAAATTCTTCGCAGTGGCACCGAACCCCATTTTGGACTCGTCGATTTGATCGCGATTGTTAATCACTGGGCAGACGCGTTGCGGTCGATTTCCTCGTAACCGCGTTAATCTCTCCGTCGCGTCGTCGGCTCGAAAGCAAGATGCCGACGCGACGCAACGGGACGCGATGTTCACCGTGGCGGATAAAACGGTGATCGGCTGTCTCTCGTTTATCCGATCCGTTCGTGCGGATTCACTTATGCCTTTCCATCCACGCCGTTCCATTTCTGATTAACGCCGGAGTCTCGGCGAGGATGGGTACGACTTTGGCAACTCCGTTTCAACCCCTCCCTCCCACTCGGTTCCTCCCGGGCATCCTCGAGCTGCCTCCCAACAAGCATCGATGAACCGGAGTATTTTCGGATATGGAGTCGCTGCCAGGCTGATCGAGGGTGTGGGAAGCAGAATAGAGAGTGAGTACAGGGGGCTGATGTTGAGGGAATGCCGTGGGGTGGAGTGCCGGTGAGTGGCGGATGGGAGAGAGAGACGAGAAAGGGTGTGAGTTGGCCGGAGTGGTGTTTCCCCGGGGTAAGCATGAACATATACTTGCCCGGGGCTTATTCAGACAAATCGGTGATTGCTGCGGAGGCGAGCGAAAGGGTAGCTCGCCGCACCACCATCGCCGGTACCACAACCAGCACCGTGTACCAGCACCGCACGACGCGCCGCGCCGCACCTTCTCGGAGTGACGAAGACAGGGGGTTTCAGCCCGAAATCCGCGGATGGAAGCGAAAAGAGAACGAGAAGAGATGGACGGGTACAGAGAGACGGAGAGAGGGTGGCAAGTTTTGGGAGCGGAGAGACGAAGAGAGACGGAGCGAGGCCGTAGACGGCGGAAGCGGGATCGTCGGGGTTAGAACGAAGAAGCATCGGCGGGAGGGAGAGCGAAGAATGATTGTTTCCATGATTACAATGGGACGGAAGAGGAAAAGGGATGGAGGTTGGCCTAGGAAGAGGGTATGGGGAGCAATCTCTTAGCGCTAACGTAGATTCGTGGCCCAGAGTCTCTCGAAATATTACACCAGAGGGGTACCACCGATCCCCGAACGGTGCCCACCGGGGAATTTCGTAACTCCGAGGATAATGTGTGTCAGCCGTCGAACTGATCCCCGAATTTTCCTTCCCTTCCGGACAAATCTCGCGATTCCTTTCCCGGCGTTCTCACCGGATATTGCGCGGTGGCCCCCGAACCTAGATACGGACCGGTCTACAAATACGAGAAACGCGTTGCGGGAGTCTGTATAACGACGCGGATCGTTCGGAAGCATCTTCGTTAAATCCGATTGATTTCGTTGAACTTCTGGAGCGAGAAGATCCCTACCGTCGTCTAACTTTTAGACTCCCACACTTTGCTGTGAATCTTTCAGAGACGAAGTTCCGGAAGAGAGCGCACGTGCTCCGATCAGGGATAATCGCTCGCAGCTGAGAAATTATGCAAAACACAAGCGTCGTGGATACCCGATTGGGCAGATCGGACAACTTTTCATCGGATAAGAAGTTCGTTTCTTCGCGGCGGCGAGGATATATCTCGAACTACTATCGAACGAATCGTTGTCTCTGTCTTAGAGATAACGATTACTGCAGGCGACGGAATAGTTTCCGCTCTCGTTTCGCACGGGACAAACTGTTGTTCCCCCGTGACAGAAGTACTTAAGACATAATCGATTGTCCCTTACCGCACGAACGAAAGAGTTCAAACGTTACCACTTATTCTCTCCTCATCTAAACCAGTCAAAACCACATCGATACCTTATCTCTGACAAAACCTTTGAACCGTTTGTTAAAAAATTGTTCGTCGAAGTAGTCCCGTAATCGTCGCAGGGTTTTTTTCATTCTCTCGAAGCTGGATAATTGCGAATAGAACGTCGGAAGAATCGATTCAGGGTGAATGCGGAATTACGTTCCGTTATCGCGCGATAGATTATACCCCTCGCACTATAATTTCGTTCAACCCGGTACGGAAACTGCTGCAAATCTGAACTTAATTAAAATGTTTCTTGCTCGGTAACTCCGATAAGAGAATACCGGTGTGCGAGGCACAAAGCGAATCTCCGCGTGTTAAGTGCGTTTCGAAGGGTGGGCGTTAGTCGGTCGAGCGATTTCTCGAGCTGAGCCACGTCGTGGATACACGTTCGCGCACCGTAGGTAGAATGATCGGTGTCGCATGACATCGTGTAACCCCGAACACATATACGGGCGCATAGGTGCAGGACATACGGGACGTGCTGGACGGTCACTTTGGATTAATTACCAAGTGCGCCGTTATAGATAAGGAGAGGTAGGATCGGAGATGCGGGAGTAGACCGCGGGGCAAAGAGGCCAGTCGACGCTGCGATACGACGTTAAATTGAACCGACCTTTCGTCAGCTCGATTCCTGCCGTTGCCAATGGCACAGCGGTCGGCCTATCTAAAACCAATTACCGCTGTACACGTGAGCGCGTGTCTACTTGTCCGTGAACACACATCTCCGTTCCCATCTTTTACGAACTGTCTATTGTCCATCAAAAACTCTGGCAAATATTTGAAATTCGTCGGTAATAGTCATGCATAAAATCGTACAACGAATCATGAACAATTTCAATAAAATATGTAAGAGTCGGAACGGAATAATTCCAACAACGAGCATTCACGATATATCCTGAAACCCGGCTCTATTCTCGATCTCGTCGTGGAATTTCTGTACATTTTTGGTAACAGATTTTTTCGACTGTATAACGAAGCGGCGTACGCGGCAACGCTCGATGCGTTAAACTGGAACTCCCGGCTCGATCAAATGGTCTTCGAATTAGCTTGGAAATTGTTTACGTCATTAGATTCTCATCGATCCGTTTGCTCGCTTTATCGCCAGTTATTCAATCATCTCCGCGTACCGGTTCCACATGACGTTATACGTATTCGAATAGAAACGTCGATGTAATTAACCGAGCCGGTGTAGGAGAGCCAGGGAGCACGTGGCCGCTTATCCAGAATATTATACACACGCGTTATGCACGCGTCGCCGGTAATACGAACGCAATTAGGCTGACGGGGCGGGGATAATGGAGAATCCCCGAGTGGCGAGATCGCAGCTGGGTATTTAGCCCGGGAGCGATTTCGTCGTGAGCATAAAAAGATCGTCACGGTTGTCTCAGGTCGGATGGATCCGCGTGGAAGATAACACGATATTGTCGATGGGCGAGAAAACGGTGACGCACGCTAGACGGTTTCACGTGACGCTGGAGAACGCGAAGCTGATGGGGAAGATGAAAAATCAGAGCCAATCGACGAGGGACGAGGAGTTTACCACGAAGCTGCACATCAGCCAGCTTCGGGTGGCCGACCGAGGCTGCTACATGTGCCAACTGAACACGAAGCCCATGTTGAGCCAGCTGGGATGCGTGGACGTCCTAGGTATGCCTAATTGCGCGTTACACCGCATTCCTACGGGCAGGTACGGTTCGGTGTTTGTGGTCGCTCGTAGAGACGTCACGTACGCACGCACCGGGTTTCGATTAGCCTAGCTAGTCCCCCCGGTCGAGAAGGGGAAGGCGCAAAATATGCGCGCCTCGCCGGTAGAATACGTTTCAATGGGGAGCCTGCCAGAACGGACCATAACGTTACGTTGCTCACCCGCTTTCTATTCGTTCCACCCGCTAACTCTCCCTACGCTCTCCATACCCCTGTCCTTATCCCGCTGTATACATATAATGCGCACCCACACCCGCGGTGTATGCTCCGCGCCGCGCGCGTATATTACCGGCCGCGGCCGCCTCTCTGCTTCTGGCCGACGAGTATGTGTATGGTCCACGCGAGTCGTAACGTGCGTGTACGTGGACACCAGGGGGAGAAAGAGAATTCATCGCGAAGCGGTGTGTATGCTTGCTTCGGCATTCAACTCGAAAGAGCGATCGGCCCGAATGGAATGAAATTCCTTTGTGAGCAAACACAGTAAAGGTCCCGTTTCCTTTTTTTCTACCTTCGCGAGTACCGAACCTCCGCGCACCGGGTGTACAGAATATTTGTCCAGCCCGAGGCCGTGTAATTGAAATGGCCCCGGCCGGGCCTGCCTCCTTCAAAAGAAACCAGATTTCATCGCGAAAATGTTCCTTCCGCGCTACCTACGGGGTAGATGGTATTTAATTTTCCTCGAGAGTGAGGCGTTTTAACCTGATTTCACCCGGTCTGACTATCCCCAGCCCCCTTTGCGTCGACGAACGAGTCAGCCCAATTTCCACGTCGGTGTGCGTATACGTACATATAGATATGCCTACTCGTCTCGTCGATCTTTATGGCGACCCGTAATTTCGACCCGCGTCTCTGCAAATACCCCGCTTCACCCTCCTCCGCCTCTTCCGCGAGTACTATGCACCTCAAAACTTGAAATTCAATTTCCAAGCTTCGCTCGTTTCGGAACGGGACGGAAATTTCGTCGCACAGTTTACACCTAATTCCCCCAGCCGACTTTCTAATTACGAGGATCCTTTGCGATACGAATCGAGTCCTTTCTTCCAGTACCGCCGGATATACTGAGCACGGGCACGTCGGAAGGCGAGGTGTCCGTACAGGAGGGTGAGAACGCGACCCTCTCGTGCAACGCCTCTGGGAGACCGACGCCTCGCGTGGACTGGCGACGCGAGAAAGGTTCGATACTTATGAGGGGTCTTCACGATCCGCTGATGTCGTCAGGTAAGATATTAAACTTTTATCTCGATTCGAGCACCCTCGGCGACCGTCGTTCCCGGTGACAAATAACGTTCGATTCTCTACTTTTTTATTAATTCACCCGAAATGGCCACAGCCGAGCCCGCACTCGAGCTCGGAAGATATCGTCCACACCCTGCGATCCCTCGCCAAGAATTCGTAGACACTCGAGAGCGAAACGAAACTTCGAACAGCGTTAATTGAGTCCGGATCGATGGGACGATTCCCATCGGTTTCGACGGCTAATTATTCGCGGCGTCTACGCGACTCGGTTTAGCGTCACGATTCGCTTAGGGGAACATGAAGGAATCGTAAATTCACGGAGGTACGTGATGCCGATCGAAAGCAATTACGCCGGAACACGTCTCGTCGAATGGAGATTGGTTTGTCTGCGATGACTTTCAATATCTTTCCGCGTACGTGCCCGCGCCCGTGTTTTCACGAGTACCCCTCAAGAACCGAGATTCGATGATACCGCGGATCCATATGGACGAGGTCGCGACGAAAAACCGTCGAACGCATTTTTCGCTCGGACGCCCTGGCAAATTCGCCCGTGCAGAGAGAGATATTAATGGAACGAATTTCGCGAGAGGTATTGATAAATCGATGCGCTATATTTTGAATAGTGTCGGTATTGCAACAAAAATATTCGTACCCGTTACCCGTGTTCGGCGAGTAGCGAACCTGTCAACGCCCGTAATGAATCTCCCATTTTCGATGGATCTCATTAGGCTCCTGACACGTTTTATCGGAATCGCGGAACGACTCGGTGATTTATGTCGCGGCGCTCGCTCGATAATGATGTAATTCATCGTGCGCCATTGATTTCGAAAGCGTTCCGGATGTGTACGCATAATTAAACGGGTGAAACGATATCGTAAACGCGATCGGAGGATCGGAAACTCTTGCGAAGGACCTCTGCCACGGTTCTGCGTCGATCATTAAATCTAAAAAATCGTCACCGCTCGATGTCACGACAGTTTAACGAGACCGTTTCGCGATAATCGTTCCTTATGACCGGTCGACCGATTTCCTAGTCGCGTAAACGATTTTCGAAGGAGAGATTTAGGGTTGTAATAGGCGGTGGTTCGGTTGTTTCGCGTATAATTTGGTGTACGCGCGATCGCTGGCGCGCGGCCAACGATATGTATACGAGAGCTTTCAACGAGATATTCATAGGAAGTGCGATTTTATAGTGGGCAACTATACCGGTGAAAAGCTGGAATTAACCAGGGTAGACAGGAGGCAAATGGGAGCTTATCTTTGCATAGCCAGAAACGACGTACCACCGGCAGTCAGCAAGAGAGTCTATCTAAGGGTAAACTGTAAGTACTCACTGGTAATCGATTATAAGTACTTCAACGAATATCGTTCATAAACGATAAACGAGAACACCTTCCACTTTGTTTATTCGACTAACTCAAATAGCGTTTCTCGTCTCTCGCGAATATTGAGTTCAATTCCGTTGAGCAAATCTTTGCACAAGGTTCAAAACAGAGTCGACGCAGGGCAGTTCATAACATCCGCGGGATAAATCTAACAATTCTATCGATTAAATCGAAGTTTTATCGCCAATGGGAATTTCAGTTCCTCCTAGCACGATAGTTCCCAATCAACTGTTAGGCTCACCGCTGGACTCGGACGTGTCATTGACGTGTTTGATCGAGGCTTACCCGAAGACGATCAATTTGTGGACTAGGGATGGACAAGTCATTATGAGTGGGTACGTTACCTATGCTTAAAACGCGTCGTCGTTCGTCAACCGTTCAGCAGTCACGACGAGACACGATCGGCTCTATTGTCTATGTTCTGCACGGTGAAACTGAGCGATATGTCAAAACACAGTGGTAGGTACGACATCAGCGAGCGGGCACACCCGGACGAGGAATGGAAGACGACGAGCGCGTTGAAGATAAGGCATTTGCAGGAAAGAGATATAGGGGAGTACACGTGTTCAGCGTCGTCGAGCATGGGAAAATCCGAAGCCACCATTAGGATTTACCGTGAGTTTTCGACGTATGCGATCGGCGAACGCGTCATTTTTCGACGTCCCACATATCCGACGAATTTTGCGTTCGATTCCAGTCACAGGAATTTCTTTCTTTCTTTCTTTCTCAATGTTTTCGTCTCATCAGTTGCTCGTATCCTACTAGACTGTAATTTCGTCGTCGAACCTGATTTATTATTTGCACGCGCTTGTCTCGGATTCAACGGTTAATGGGAATTTGTTTTAGAAATAAAAGTAGACGTGACGCCACCCACTCGGGCCACCTCGGTCACCGGGAAGAAATTGAGCAAGGGAAAATCAAAGCTCGCCCAAGTCACCGCGGTGAACCGAGTCTTCCAGCAGATGAGCACGCCGGCGATGCAGAAGAGCACCGCGAAGATCGCTCATAATAAATACATAACTACGTCGACGACGGTGGATCCGCGGTCGCCCTTCATAAAAGACAAGAACGTGTTTAAGAATCGCGACACGCCGAGCGTGAGGAACGACTGCGGCGCGTTGAACGAGAACAGAGGGGCGCGAGTCTACGCGATCTGCTTGATAGTTTTCCTGATACTACGATAAAAGTTTGCAACGAATTTACAGCGAGAGCTCTGTCTGAAGCGTTACGCGCGTGACGCTAGTTTCTAGACGGGGAGAGAACGAGTCGAACGATTGGAAATTGCGAATCGTTCGAGTTTGCAACCGGGCAAACATCGGCGTTTCGATTACGATATGTCTCAAACGACCGATAAAGAGGAGGAATCGCGACTCCGAAGTTTCAATCGAACAAAGGGAAGTTCTTATTGCGTTTCACGATGACGAAGCGCGAGGTAAGTACATACTTTGAACGACCGACACCATCGGCGGACGGGATCGATCTTTCCTCTCTCTGGTCGCAGTGAAACGGTTCGTCGCGTCGTCGCGGCGAAACATGTTGCGAATTTTAAAAGATACATAAATGCTTACGAATGTATTTTTTATGAACCCTTTTATCCGTTTCTGAACGCGGGGCAAAAGAGTAAAGAGTCGTGAGCGAGGTGTGTTCTTTGGTTCGACTGAAAATGTAACGTCGTCGAGTATTTTTTTAACAACGAAACGAAACGTGGCGGAGTACATTGAAAATTATCATTCCTGATTTATCCGAGTTATTAGGAGTTACGATGTAATTTTTATAACGTTAGCATCGAGAGCCTTACACAAGCAGGGTGTCTATCTCAAGTGGGCCACCAGTGTCATTCACGAGATCATCGTTCGGCAAAGGAATAAGGAGAAATGATATTCTACTTTCAATCGATTACCCTGAACATCGAAATTCGAAATTGTTTTCAACGATGGCAATGGCGATCCAATTAGAATGAACATCCCCGGTTATATGTACTTAACGTATGATACATCGTTGCGTCGTGATTATTATTATTGTCAACGATTAACTGTACTCTACTTTCCGCAAGATTCGCGGCCCGTCGCGAGTCGATCCACCCTAATCAAACTATTCGATTATACTCGAACACAGACAAATAATTAGCATATACTAATTTGTACGTAAGGGGTAATAAGATAATATCTTTGTTCATCGGTACGATAAAGAGGCAGACTAAATTGAGATCGTAAATGGCATCTTAACGAACGTTACGACACGTCATATCTAAGTCAAATTCATATCCGTAACGCGTAAAAATAGTACCATACTATTATATATTTTAGGAAGATGTTAGACGTTACTTTCGTTATTTTATGTATTTTTTTAATTACTCGTAGGCAAGTAATGTACCTCATATGCAAACGATTAAACGAGACCACGACTATAAATATAATCGACTGTGGTCCACTGCGAGGAAAATGTTTCGACTCGGATGATCACGTCTGTGATGATCTCAGTTATTAAATTACGAATTTTCATTGAATTTCTAATTTCGTACGACAGTATTTATGTATACACACGTTACCGTAGACTGCTACGCTGTTTCCTTACTTTTTAAGTTTACTCCCCTCGATGTAAAAAGTTATTTACGATAACGTTACAAGAACGATATTTTTTGTAAAGGAATCGACAATAATCGTTCCTAATAGGTTGTGCTATGTACGATTTATTTAAATGTTCCTCGCAAGATCACGTACCATATCTCACTCTGTAATTACGATCTGTCTGGAAAACGATGCCAGTGAAAGGGTTTGACATCCTTTAGAAGAATCAAAAGACGTCAAAGCTTTCCCCCGGTATTCCTATTGTCATGTATGTCTTCTATTACAGAGTACAATTTTTAGTCAGAACGCGTGGTTTATTGTCATTGAAATAGTAGCATATCCGCGAATTAAACACGAAGGAAACACACATGTTAAATACATCTATTTAACAAATATTGTATATCGTAAAACACTGCTCAATATAACAACTCTACAATAAGTATATTAAAAGAATGTTGTTGTTTATAGAAAAACAAAAAGGTATATATGAGAATATGGTGAGGAAATGTGCTCAAGTTGGATAATTATATAGCTTTGGAGAAAACAACGTGTTGACAAATAAAACATACCATGCAATTAGCTGTGATATTAATTGACTCCTTTTATTTTACGTTAAACCTTATGCTATTTTTCATTATGATAAACGAGCTCACTTAAGTATTCAAATACATATAAATTAATCATGTCCATCATCAATGTACAGATACAACGTTTCTTACAGCTTAAAATATATGTATCCACTTTAAGACCAGAACAAGGTATACAAAGCCATTAAAAGGCAACTTGCTGCTACATATGGACTTTTCCTCTCACCAATCCTAGCACATTTCCAAAAAGTACCTTGAAGACTAATTGTAGTATATTAATATAAACCCTCGCAGCTCCGTAGTTTTGAATTACCTGAGTATACGTACCCAACTTTTCCTAACCGATTATCCAGTAAACTGGGTATGATAGCTCTGACGTAAGTACAGGTGCAGATCAGTAGCAAAATCACGGTCAGGAGACTTTGGAAATTAAATAGGGCAGACTGTGAGCCAAAAGAAATGCATTAGAAAATTGAAACTGACACGTCGTTCGACAGTACTGAGGTTATGACGAAGCGGCTTGAGAAATCTTACCATTACGAGTAATCAGTAATTGTTTGATTGCGTAGGAAATTAGTTGAGGACGAAATTTATTTCCGCATGAGTAAGATTTACTTCTGAACTTGAACTCTAACTCTAACTCAAACAACAAATGTCACGTTGGACTTGGAACAAACTTCACGTTCCTATCAGAGAAAAAATGAATACAGCGCACAGCGCTGTGGTCGAAATTCATCAAAAATCTTACAATGTTGCCTCTTGGTGCAGCACTTGTACGGGAATCACAAAAGTCTGAGTGCGAGCACTCTACATCTACTTTGGGTCAACCACGTTTGAATGACGTGTTCGTGTTCCTAACGTTTATTGCAATTCTGCGAAGTTTGCATAAGCCTATCCCTATCTCCTAACAATCTAACATTTCGCCGCTAACGGTACTAATCTCATTTGCTACTGTTTCTTTAATCTACGAGAGTGACAGTTTGATTAAAAATGTCTTTCGTATCGCCAATGCCTAGCAGAGAATTCCTCTGGGACGTGTTTCAGAGGTAAGGAAAACAATTAATGAATTCTTTTGATTTCATATAGAATCATATAGATCGTAATTCCGACTATAGTTTTCTACATTTTACTGAATTTATTCGACTACACTGACAATCGTATTTAATTACATAGACTAATTGTCACATTTCTGCGAGAATTATATATGCTTGTTATTCCTCGGTAAATGGAAAACTATGGATAAAATTTTAATAAAAGACATATATGCATGTTTACTTGCAGAGTTGACAGAGACAAGTCTGGCTCAATAACTGCAGATGAATTGCAACAAGCTCTTTCGAACGGGACTTGGACCCCATTTAATCCAGAGACAGTTCGTTTAATGATCGGTAATTATTTAACTGGACTATTTAAAGTGATCATGCGAATCCATAAAGAAGGAAATTATTATTGTATAACAAAGTTGCTCGTTTAATAAATTATTCTATAGTGCCTGCGTAGATTTGCATGGTCCTTTACCATTTTTAATATACCTTTACTTCATTTTATTGACGCAGGTATGTTTGACATTGACAAAAATGATCCTGGTTCTTCAGGTATGTTTGATAAGAATCAAACAGGAACAGTGAGCTTCGAGGAATTCGGTGCGCTATGGAAATATGTAACGGACTGGCAGAACTGTTTCCGATCATTCGACAGAGATAACAGTGGGAACATCGATAGAAACGAATTGAAGACGGCTCTTACAAACTTTGGATACAGATTGTCAGATCAAATAATAGACACCCTCATACGTAAATACGACAGAGCTGGGAGAGGAACTATATATTTTGATGACTTTATTCAGTGCTGCATAGTTTTATACGTAAGTGGTACATTTACTTGATGCTCGATTGCGGATTTCATGCGATTATAAGAAAATACATTTTATAATGTATAATTAATGTACAGAAATGATAAATGCCACATGCACTCCATAAGATAGAATATGAAGAGCTGAATACATGTTTAAATGATCCTGCAAATATTTCATACTGTATAAAAGTCCGCAACCTACTTATAACAATTCTATTCATTTAAAACAAAAATTGTTCTTCCAGACACTGACTTCGGCCTTCAGACAGTTGGATACAGATTTGGATGGTGTTATCACGATTCACTACGAACAATTCCTAGGCATGGTATTCAATCTTAAAATATGAGCTATTTGTATGTCTCGTCTACGATATTCTTGCCTATCGTGGCACCACATTATTTACGAATTATTCGGTGCCAAATCTTGGATATATTTGAGGAGTACATAACGAGCCTAAATGTTCAAGTTTCTTAAAGGTTTATAAGCATGTAAAAACATTCCGAAACGATGTATGCGTACACGTGCTAATATTACGAGCATAGTTATACATATTTTTACTTCCACCATTTATCTGTCACGACACATAAAAGTATTTTGTACTGCTTAATTATTTAGTGAATCACAAAAAGAAACGTAACGAGCATCTCTCTGATTTGTCATTTAAAAAGATACATTTGTTTAAGGTACTGATCCATGGTCGCAGAATGTACAGTGTAACAAATGTCAATTATCTGATACCAATGTTATTATCCCTATGCTTTAATATTTATTGTACTTTTTTATTATACTATACAGCACCTCAGAAGATATTAAATAATTATGTACGTCGAAAGGTAGTTAAGGAAATTGATATAAATTTTGTGCTTTCCTCAAGTAAAACCGTTTGTTATACGTATTTGTGAAATATAACATTTTTCTGTCCTTTGAGAAGATTATAGAATTGTTCTAAATAACACGGGCCTTTTTATTTAAAAATCCCTATTTCCCAAATTATTCCTGTAGAATTATTGAACTCTCAAGTGACTCTTAATTGTTCACAACAATCTTTAATAGCAGTTACCAGACATATAGCTTCCTACTGACGATCAATATAATAGCTGATAGTACAGGGTTCTGTACTACTTCATAAGCAAGGAAAGGAGCTGAGTTCGACGCTAGCTCTTCGCAATTGTAAATTGCAATACTGAGTAAATTAGAAAATTAAAACACGTACTATTAACAAAGCATTCGTTGTTACAATGAATTTAGAAACATTCTGTCAATCTCTACCGAAAGTGGTGAGTAATAAAGGAACAGAGACAATATTCAGGTTAGTAGTTAAGGAAAGAAAAACGATTAATTATTTCTTTTACAAATAGGAACTACACGCTCATCTAAATGGATCTTTGAGCACGGACACGTTGAAGAAATTATATAAAATGCAAAACCCAGACTCGGACGAAGTCGAGAATTTGCTCACGGATATGAAAAGCTTCTCGTCACTAGGCGAGTATGATCGGCAATTAAATCTCATGTTTCCGATTATATGTTACGTTATTGCATCGTACTTACATATTTATCTATAGGTGTTTCAAAGTTTTCGACATTGCACATTCGTTGACGATAACACCTGAGGCTGTCTTTCACTGCACTTATGACACGATTAAAGAGTTCAGAGATGATGGAGTAATATATTTAGAACTTAGAAGTACACCGCGTGCTGTTCACGGGAAAATGACAAAGGAGGAATACGTAGAAGCGATCGTAAAAGCATTCGAGTAAATATATTCAACTGTCTCTGCTTCAAACAGTCGAAGATCGAGTAATCGAGCTTTCGAATTGTAGGGCATGCAAAACTGACTTTCCAAGTATACTAGTCAAGTTATTAATATCGATTAATCGTAAGCAAGGGTACAAAGCCGCGGAGGAGAATATAAATTTAGCAATAAACTTTCTTAAGAAATATTCTCAATACATCGTTGGACTCGATCTCAGCGGAGATCCGATGACAGGGGATGCATTTTTGGAATTGCTGAGAAAAGCTAGAACGGCTGGTCTTAAAATTGCAGCCCATTGTGCAGAAGTACGATTCAATTCGCTGATACACACGGGATTGACTTGAAACGAGTTTAATTCTTGTTTTACATAGATTTCGAATGAAATGGAGACGATAGACATCCTCGAATTTAAACCTGACAGACTGGGACACTGTACCTGCATTCATCCTACCTTGCAAGGTTCCGATAAATTATTCCAAATGCTTCTTGACTCGAGAATTCCCGTTGGTAAGATTCCAAGAGGATTTAACGATTCACTGATATCGCACGACACGAATATGTTTGACACTTTTTTACCGCTCAACTAGAACTGTGCTTAACTTCGAACGTTCAATGCAAAACGGTACCAACTTATGAGGCTCATCAGTTCAAATATTTGTACGAGGCTGGACATCCTGTTTGTCTTGCAGTAAGTGAAATCAGTCGCGGTGTTTAAACGATCGTGTCGTGTCAAACAGATCGTTTTATATTTTAGACTGACGACAAAGGTGTATTTCGCACGTCTTTGTCTCGGGAATATCAAATAGCCGGATCAACGTTTGGTCTAGGACCGGAGGAACTTCGCGAACTGTCCTCATCGTCTGTACAATACGCTTTCGCGAGTGAACACGAAAAACAGGTATTACTATCCAAAATCAAATGAAATAATTATGTTATTACACATTAACATGACGCTGCGGCGAAATCACTATTGATATAAAAGTAATGATGATTTTATTCGTTATGATATTCGTGAGCTCGTTTACATGGATTTACAGATAACTAAGTCACTATTTACGGAGTCTATAATAGTTAAATGTGATCGGGGGAGTTCCATTTTTTTTCTTCAGTATCATATATAGTATATACAACATTTATAATACTTATTACAATATTACGCCAGTAAATATGGTGCACTGATGAGAAAATTAATACTTACAAACCGACAGTGAATGATCCAGTTCAGTGAAATTAAATGAACGTCTTGTAGGCTATGAAAAATCACAATCGAGCACGACGAAATTATAACGTTGTTGCTGTTCTTGTTGTCTATCTTCTCGACAATTTTCTTTAATGAATCAAAACGTTAGATGAAACTTTAGCACCACTTAAAAAAGGGCCGAAACTATTCTTCTCTCTACTTGAAATAAAATCGCGAATAAAAGGGATTAGCCTTTATGAATTTCCTGTTCCTTTTCCTATGTCTATTGACATGACAATTTTCTGCATTTTTCTTTTTTTTTGTAGTTCTTGCGTCAGAACCGTCATTCTTTATCACGCTATAATAAGATGATACAGTAAATACGTGAATAATAATACTAATCGTAATTATAGGAATACCAATAATATAGTCGTATTAATATTGATGATGACAATAATATCGTTCTTGATAATCGTAATACGAAATTATGCTTACTTTACTAATATAATATTTAAGTGTATAATATTCGTCCTATGTAACAGTCTTTTTGGCTAACCATCGAGCTATGAACAGTAAAACAGTTCCTTCCTACCCAATCTTCGCACCGCTATCAATTCGTATATTCTATCATTGCTAAATCGCGTACATATCTCGTTCGGAGATCAACGAATTAAGAAATCTATTCGCACGAATCCGTTTTCTGTTCTTACGCCCTTCCAGTTACTGTCGTGCGTTATTTTAATTCCCTAATATCTTACCTCCGTTAAATCTTAACATGACTATGATTAAAGTATATATTTTAGCTCCCGTTCCGATCGCGATCGCGACCATCGTTCGTCCTCTGAGGCATCACATCTTTATAATAGATACTACGATTATGTAAAATCAGCGTCTATCGCGTATCAAATCCGGCGATTGTAGTTAATCAAATAGGAACAAAACGTCCGATTACGTGTTCCAAGAAGGGAAAATTTGTCGGTCGACGTGCAAGGAAGGTACGAAACGAGATGCGAGCGCGAATCGCGAACGGCTCCCACGCGATAAAATGCTTCGGAACTTATACTAAACGCTCGCATCCCTCACGCGTTAAAGGGAAGACGCGAAGCTCGTAAAAAATAAAAAGACTTCGAGTAAAACATACAATCAAAATGCGAAAATGAAAAATCTGACCGCGAACGGAAAGAAAGTAAAAGAAACTAAAAATTACTCGTGGTAATATAAAAATCACGATATATATAGAATAATATTCGACTAAATGTAGTAGTAGTAATAATAATAATTATAATAATGGCTTGTTTTTCTAAACTGTCGCACTGAGCTCTGTCCCTCCATTTTGCGAAACAAGTAAATTCATGTTCAAACGACTATGTACACTTGACAGAGAACCGACAAGGTGGACTGTTGTCTATTTGTATACTATATACTTGACACATGCACTACGTTCTTTCTCTCTCTCATATACACTCCTTAATATTCGAGGTGTTAGTAATCGTCGTAAAAACAAGTAACTACACGCTGATTTAAAATGCTATAAAATATCAGAAGGAAGCCGGTCTCTCGGGTATCGTTCGAAGGAAATAAATGAAGGATAAGAGGTCGTCGAATAGAAACCCTTTGAATCACAAGACGCCGAGAGGTCGGGGTCAATAAATAAATTAAGATGTTTTGATTATAATAAAATAAAAAAAATGATCGATCCTGTTGTGAATTCGTTTCTCTCTGAGTCAGTTTATCTTCGACCAAGTCGGTCACTTGTTTCGAATATAGCTGAAAGATGTTAATGAGAGATCTTTGACGAGCGTGGCGATTTCGAAAAGTTTCTGGGGAATGAAGGGAACGCAGGGCGATGGAAATCTAATTAGAAAAAGAAATATCGTGTCCCTCATTGCACGCAGATTATACAAACACGATTATTCACACAGCAAAGTTTCAATCATCGAACGGGGAGCAGTCTACCACGATCACACGTTTATCCTAACGAGCTGGCAATTGCTCGTAACTTCCTTAGAATGATTAATAATATCAAATATTTGCAAAATTAAATTACGCTCGTGCACACACATACACACATATATATATATATATATATATATTTATATGTGTATATATATATATATATAGAGCTGCACACGTTGGCGTGATGATAGAAAAACTCGGGCAAGTAACCAGAATCGATAAACTAATATCACAACGCGAATTCAAGACTTCACGCGAGAAACTAACAGAAATTTGAGTCCCTTCCCGTAGAGAAACAATGATTTGAAATTTGTACAATTCAATTAAGCAGATCTATCGATCGTAAAATGATTAATTATATGGCAGACTGCTTCGGCCGGTCATTATTACATCTAAGGATTATTATATTAATTAAGGATATAACGAGTAGATATATTTAAGAAAGAAGTTGTTGAGCATTCACGAGACTATGCTCCGCGACGCTTTTGCGTTGCTGCTGCCCGACGTGCTGTTCGCGGTACCATTCTCGGATTGAGCGAACAACACGCCTTGATACATTATCCCGTTCAGCTCCATGCTGACAACCAAGGAATTATCACCGTTCCTTCCGTCACCTGGAGGCATAAAATCAAATTCATTCCCCTCGTGTAACACTACACCTTACATACAAAATTATTGTCTATTTAATAGAAACATGAATCGTTCCTTACCTCGGTTGGAAATTTTTATGTGCGTACCTACAGGAGCGCTCTTGTCTAGCGGGCTATCATCATCCGAGAGTGGTCTCTTGACTGGCGGCGGACCGGATGATCCGGGTCGACCTATATCTTGATCCCTCTTCACTAGCATGCTCCCACCCGAGGAAGGTGAACTCAGCCTCGCGGGGGACGAACATATCGGCGATGATCTGAACGATCGATCATAGAGATATTACAAGATTAAAGAATTCGTAGTCTTAATCAAGATATGATTACCTCAATCCGAGATCTAGGGCTTCTCGTTGTGGTTCAGGTGTCGGTACCTGAGGCAACGGAGAATGCGATGCTTGAGGAGACATTGGCTGATGACTGACTCCGGGATAAATAGTGTTATTATTGTACATATTCCATAAAGTGAGTCGAGACATCTCCAAAGCACTGAATGCACCGTCCCTCGGAGAAGTCGACGCCGGGGGAGAGTCGCTGGTTTGTCGGTGGATCATCGGCGGTGGCGTCCTGGCGCCAGCGCTCCTCAGCTCCTTGTTGAGCAGCTTCACGTACTCGACCATGCGTGCCTCGAACTCGGACGGCGCCATACCGGGAATAGGTCCTGTGACCGGTTACACGTACGATCAATATTCGCGAAATGGATCGATCAAAGGGCGGCGTGCGCGTCAATCGTGTTTAAAAGCGACGACGCGTCGTCGCGTCGTGTTTCAACGAGTTAAATTAAAGGCGACGATGATTGGCGTGGTTCCATCGGGTGCGAACGAAAGGAGAAGACAGGGTCAGATGAAACGCGTCTGGGACTTCTATTTCCCATCTCCACGATAAATCACCCGTTCAAACTATGTACTCGAGACGTAATTTACAATTGGTTTTTCTTTCAAATGATTGAAATTAATCTTCTGTAGATAATTATTATAAGCAACGACTTCTTCGCTGAGTACGCTATACATATAATAGTGGGTGGTCACGAGCGTAGAAGGGTTGAAACGTACGGAAGGGAAACGAGGCAGCTCATTGGACGGCACAGGCAAATTCGAGGGAAGGGTGCGAATAGATAGGATCGAAATTGGTTCGACGTCGGGTCAGAGGGTGGTGAAAACAGGACGAAAGGGGCGAGAAGGAGGACGAAAGGGGTAGGGAAGTAGGAATGCTCGTTAGCGAGAGTCATCCGTTAACGCCTGTCTCCCGGAGGATCGCACAATCAATTACGCCTCCTTCGCTCTCTCGCATCATCATCTCCGGGGAGGCCTGGGGAACCCTAACTACCGATTTAAAATAAACCTCCGCTCCTTTTCTACCGCTCGCGCGCTCCCGACGTACCCATTTCTTTGCTCCGGCCGTGACAACTTTTCATCTGGACCTACCGCGTTTCAATTCACCACCCGACTGCACGAGTTTCAAAGACGTTCATCCCTTATCAATGTTTCTTCGAGACGTGAAGACTGGACACGCTTCGTCTAGCACTTTTTCACACGGATCGAAGAGATACTGGTGTGCAGTCGAACGTGTGAATGAAGAATTGGTATTTTTCGTGACCGACCTGCGGCGCTAGACGGTTGTCCCGGAAGTCCCTGAGGGTGCTGGTGATGTGGATGATGCGTAAGAGGCGCGTGGGCGGCACCTCCGTTCATCAGAGACTGCGGTCCGTGATGTTGGCCACCGGCCGCGACGGCCGTGACCAATGACAACGGTGACATTTGAGCGTGCAACGCGAGCGAGTTTGGCGTGTGAGGGTTCCTTTGCATGAGACCATCGGCACTTCCACCGCCGCTCGCGTACGCACCGTAGCTGCTCCGACGTCCCTCTCTACGGTTCCCATCGATCGCTGCTTGCAACTCCGCCGGCGTTGACAGTCGTCGCTTCTCGCACTCGTACGGATACAGATATTTCATATACCTCGGGTGAAAAAAAGACAGCGTGCATTAAAAGGGGTGAAAAGCTCGTAGACGTGCCCATTTTCCACTGCTTTTTAAAATAGCTTTAAGCGTCAAATAGCATTCGTCGCAGTTAATAATGCTGGAAGTGTATAGTGCGATGTTAGGAAATACAATTGTGTTTGAGACACTGTTAAGTTTTTAAACAAGAGGAAATTTGTTGTTTTCTTATTCGATCAATCGATCACTGCGTGAATTACTTTAAATATTATTTAGTTTGACGGTTTATTAGAACTGAAGGATTGGCAAACAGAGACGTATTCTCGATGGAACGCGGGCTATAATTCGCGCAGGGATCGTTCAGATTTTACGATTGTCTGCCAGACTGTTGGCCCCTTTCTCCTCTGCCCCTTTGTCTTCTTCGCCGAATGGAGAACACATCGACAAGCCGAAAACACGATCAACTTTACATACGCGTGCGTCCAGGTGCACTGGTCCGGAACGTAAATCCCTCCTTCTTAGTGATAATCAAATTCGCGCTGCACCGCTCGAACGGTTCATGAAATCTGTGTCATGGCATCTCTCTAATTTGATGGACTTTCATATTTTCTCACGTCGACTAAATTCTATTCAGTTTTTGATCGTCATTTCGTCGTATCAATGATTCAACGAGAAATCAGCAGATCGATGCTCCTTATTTAAATATATTCCTCTGTCAGTAATTCTGTGTCACTCTGATGTCGTTTGCATCTCGTACTTCGTCTCGTCGTTAGGTATATCACTCGTTGCCTGGTGTTCTAAGCAACAAATTTGTCGCAGGAAACGAGCGGGCGCAATGAATCGGCGCGTGTGGACTCCTTCCTAGCGATATAAATAATTACAGGTTGGCGAAGGAAGGCGCGTGGCTCGATATAGTCGCGGCTACTAGCCGACGTTTCCCTTTTGTACAATTTCATTTCCTTCGTCTGTCCCTGTTCCCGCTGGCCGAGATAACCGGTTGCCGGGATGATGGATGCGCCCGGCGTCCCGACGTTCCTCGCGTGTCAGCGTCGCCGGTTTATTTTCATCGAGACGAATTCGTATAGCAAGTACATAATTCGTATTGGCCCACCGTTCAACCGATTTCATTAGATCGAATCAAATCGGTGTCATTCCATTATTTTTATAATTAAACATTTTCTGCTTTCTTTGAGAGACATTGGAGCTATAAATAAGAACATCATCTCGTCCATAAAATTCCTTTGTCGCACGTAGTCTTTAATTAATTCTGTACAGAATGCGTCGCGAACCTTGCGACCGAAATAGCTGGCTGATAAATCGACCGTCAAATTTATATTAACTATCGTTGGCAGAGATCTACAGCGATTTTCATCGGGTCGTCCGTGAATCCAAAGACGTGGGTGAACCGGCGGGTAAACAGTTTTAACTTGGCGAACTGAATTACAGGCTCGCGCTCTTCCGGCTGGTCGGGCGGCGAGCGAACAATCGGGTTCGTCGAATCGAATGAACATTCTGTTTTGACACCCGGTCGAATCCTCGGGGTCGAGGCGAGGAAAGGCGGTTCGTTCTCCGGTGGCAGGTGACGAATGGGGTTAAAACTGGGCACGAGCCGGGCGCCAGTTCCTCTCTCTCTCGCTCCTTTCCACGGTTTTTGAGTGTTCCCATCGTGGTCACGGTAGCTCTTTCTTCCTCGTCCTTACAGCTTCTTTTGTATCAGCGTCGTATATTTTTGTTCGGAGGAGAACACGCTGCTCGCTGATACAACCCGCTATCTTGAGTACACAAACAATTCTCGTTGCCGTCGTTCTTCAACCAGTAATGATGATAGTATTTCCCAAACAATGGCAGATCCCCTTTGACCCATTTTTTTTCACCGCGTAATTAGATCGATTTTTCAAACGAATCACAGCAAAATAAAATTCGCGACGTCACTTCTACTGCACTCAATGGTAAGTCGTCGGGGGAATAAGAAAACTTTAACAATTTGTAGAAAAAGGAGTTTAGTCAGAAGAGTTCAGGCTCACTGAGTTTCTCGTACAACGGGGGACACAGAGGAAGACACACTTTATGAATGTAGAAGCGAATAGACAGAAGAAGCTAGGGTCCCAGATGAGAAACTTCACGATCTACTTACTGGGTGCGCAACGTGAACGCTGCGGAAGTGATGCTCGATGGCAGATGGAGGCCTTTGATGATTTCCTGCCAGAGCTTTTTGTTGATCACGTCCACCAGTCCACCCCTCGCGATCACCAAATTGTATAATTCGTACAGGTCCAGTACAGACTTAGCCATGATCGGTAGCCGATTGATCGGAGAGCCTGAAATAAAAATTGATCACATTTTTATGCAAAGGATTTAAATTTCCCATGGAGCTCGTGTCTTCCGCGCGATCGGCTCGGGGGTATTTTGGCAACGATTTTAGAGTTTACGAGGTTTGTCCAAGGCTCGCAGCGAGGGGCGTTAACGAGAGCAGTAACGAATTCGTAACGATCACGCGAGCCCGGCTTTTACGATCTCCTTACCCGTGTATCGGACACAACAAATAGAACGGGAGAAACAAAGAGTAGACTGAGGGGAATCGATGGTGTACAGATAATCTGTACTCGCGTCTCCACCACGCGACTCGTCCGCGTGCAGAATCGTGATCGTATTATCGCCGGCGAACAAACGAGCCTTTTACGAGCTTTTACGCGAATTTTAACTGGCATTTAAGATAACATGGAGTCGCGTACTACGCCTGGAACTAATCACTCACCCATTTTAATCCGAGACCTCTTACACAGCTTTTGTTCCCCAGGCAAATGCACACTCGTCATTCATTCTAATTCTTTCACGACTACAATAAATAATTTGATTTATTTTCCATCACGTCTGCAATATCCAAACGTGATACGTTAATTATTTTGCGCGACCCAATTTCGCGTGTTATACGACGAGGTTTGTAAAAGTGTTTGAAACTCCGAAACCATGAAGAGGCTTCCCTTAAATGGTAGCGAGAGAGTCGACGCATGGATTTAAAGAGAAGATATATTCTGGCATCGGTTGCACTAAACACGTAATTCCAGCTCGATTTAAAGTCACGCGAAAATTCGAACGGCAGCAAGCGGCAGCAGTCGAAGCAGGGCGAGCCTTTACCCGGCTCGGAGCCGGTAAATTTTACGAGTTTGTCCAGAGGTTCGAGTTAACGGGGCGTTAACAAGCGCAATACTCGTGACTATCGCGCGTGCGAGCTCTCTCTGCAGCGGCCGTTTACGAGCCTCGCAACGATTCTTTCGTACGAAACACCTTGCTGCAACCGGCTAACAATAACAACAACGATGACGCCACGGAGGTAGCTGTGCACGGCGAGTAACGAGAACAGGCAGCCCTAGTATCTTCACCTAATAGGCAATAATAACGAGCCCGGGGTAACTGCCTCGACAGACACTTCCAGCAAGGTGGAATCAATTTTTAAAAATAGTTTACTAGCTCTAATTCATAGACACGATATTCCCTTTTTACTGACACGCTCTTTCGACCGCTGGTCGTGGTACCGAGTTGGGGGGTTCGTCTTCCATTAGGGATGGTGGCTGTTGCAGGGGCCAGAATCAATTATTCAAAACGCGTTACCATCTCTAAGACACAGGCATAACATTACTGATAGGTACCCTCGATGGTCCGTGGTGCAGAATCGGACGTTCATCCGCCATGAGGTAAGAAGAGGTCTGCCGCCATTCCTCCGGAGGAGAGCGGAGGCAATAAAAGTTGTATGCTGGAGTAGGGGAACCAGCAATTTCGGGCTATCGAGCGTGGCCCCTCGGGCTTTATTATTGGCCCTGCAATTATTGTTGATATACGCGCAACCCGGCAACCCAGGCATAATGCTCCTCTATATAGGGCGCGGCGATAAAAGCTGTGCTCGCAAAATGGCGACCGATTCCCATCCCGTGCTCCTCGACAAAACCCCTTCTTCCTCGCTGTCCAATCCATCCATGCACCGCACGGTTTCGTGCTTTTTCTTTGCCCAAGCACAAATCATTCCCCGTGTGCGTGTGCATCACCCTCCAAACAAAATCACCGGTTTAACATCTCTCGAGGAATAAACTGGTAGACGAGATTGCGAGAACCGAACTTCGAAAACGGTCGCTAATAATAACTGCATCTAAAAGTCGAGCTCGAAATTGCATGCGAATTACGATCTCTTCTGGCTAAGGGAGGATCTCGACAGAATCATCGTTGATACCGATTTCGACGTGGTCCAGTGAAAGAGGAAGTCGGTAGGAGCGATCGTTCATTGTTCGATTGCGGACAGAGAGCGACGGGGACGGAGGTAGATGCAAAGATAAAGAAGGGAAGGAAGAAGGCGAAGGAAGAGAAGAGGCATTTCAGGATGCGATTACGACTTTTCTTGGTAGGGCGTCCAATCAGCAGTTATTTTTATAATGGCCGCCGCCACCGCCGCGTTCGAGCTGCAATGCTGGCTATTGCATGCTCGCTCGCTCACTCCGACCAGTCAAAGTAGCCGTTCGAACTGCCGTACAGGCGTTAGGTACCTATCGTTGTACATAATTTTCGCGCGCTTCGAACGGGGTGAGACCGCTCCGTTCCCTTCTCTTTCGCCATTAGAAACTGCGACTCGCGTTGTGCGCAGTGCTCTTTGAAATCCAAAGAAAGCATCGCGAACGGAACTCGAATAGATCGTTTTCTAAGTGAAACAAAAGGTCCATTCGAGGGAAATGCAACGATCGTATCTGACTCGCAATTAGATCGATGCGTCTAAATTTGTTTCGTTGGTCGTGAAGGAATGAGTTTCGTTCGGGCCGAGGCGGGGATAATTGGTATACGAAACAAAATGTTGCATTTTATGGGTTATTGCGAGGTATTGGGCGGGTTATTGCGAGGCAGGGCCGAAGGAGTGCCCGATCTAATAACGATCGACTATGTCGGAGCCCTTTATTAACAGATGCGCAGGAACAGCTTTTAAAACCCTTTCGGACGCGCGAAACGACTTTTCCGAGAATCTTGCGTGACGGCCCCGGAATCTATCGAATAAGCTATACCCCTGCGGTACCTCTCGTACCTTCGCGCCGCGCCGTTTACAACCTCGATTTCTTATCGACGATCGTTTCTCATCGACACTTATAAACGTGTTATTTGCCGGCGCAAAAAATGACAGACGGAATAATAGCTACAGCAATTTGCCTCAATTTCGCTAATACAAATATAATGCAGACGCTTCCGAGATCGATTCACATTGAGAGAATCGAATCGTTGCTCTTTGAACAGTTTAACGGCAGGATCGAACAGGACTTGCTTCGATTCTCCTGATACGAAGTGGACTTAAATCGAGAGAATCGAAACGTACGGTTTAAGGGCAAGAAAACCGAGTGCGGACGTTAATTACGATCGTATATCAATAGGTTTTTCCAGGGGTATTAATAACTCTCACCGTGTAACATAGTCGTCCTCGAGCTCGTAGGAGCGTGAAGGGAACGGAAACGGGTTAACTTTGTTAGCGCTCGGCATTATCGGACGAGCGAAACACCGAGATTGGCATTGCGAGTAACAGTCCGGGAGGGGGTGGAGTTTCGTATGAAATACACGCGACGTTTACTGCCTCCACCGGCTGGAGCAAAGTCGCAAACGCATTATAAATAGATCTTTTTCTCTTTTATCTCCCTCCGTCGTTGTCAGCCCTTTGGGATCGAGAGAGCGTACCGGAGAAAAAGGGAAAGGTACCACGTACAATCCGTCTCGTAATCTCGTTAGAATTTCCCAGAAATATTGCTGTAATTTACGATCCGTACAAGTCAACCTTCGGAGAAGTGACAGAAGAAAGGGTCGCAAGGGTCCAATGACGACTCTCGTCTTTTCAATCTATTCGAACCTTTATGAGTACTTCTGTCGATTTTTAGAAATAATCTCATTGTTTCTCATTGATATTAAGTGCGTTGATCTCTAGATGTCAGGATCATTTAGTAATAATCGTTTCGGAGGCAGCTCGCTTATCGAGGCATTGAAATCTCCCTGACTAGAATAGAGGGTCCCCCACGAGCCACTTGTTGCTTGCCGATCAAATAATTGTATCTCCCGTCCCTAGTCTTGTCACATAGGAGTGGCTTATGGATTCTGGGTGGTATCTTCCCTCTCTGTTGGACCTTTCCTTCGATCCAGACACTCCGTCCATTCAATGTCTTTAACTTCGAATCATTTTCAATTTCTAATTAATAGACTGCGTATTTGATGCACTTATAAAAAAATCAAAAGTTGAATATTTCATTTCGCAGAAAAAGTCTACTAATTATTTTATTTCGAACAGCTTCCCTAAAGCCGTGGCAGCAGACTTCCTGTCGTGACGAGCCAGCAGTCAAATACGTACTAAATCCTGTTCATCGTAGCCGGAGATGTTTCCGGATCAAGAGCATAAGATAGACAAAACAGAATGATCGTGTCCAGGGCGTGGCGCGAGAAGAATAATTCCATGCTCGTCCGTCTTCGTTTCTTCGTATCATCGCGCTCTTCTTTTCTCATTCCTCGGTAACGACTTGGGTGGGCCACCCTCGACTCGCGTTCATCGGTTACGTGATAATAAAATCTCCGAATAGGTGCGTCGCGATAAAACTTTTATCACCGATTACGACTTTACGAACCCGTTTGATCCCCTGCCACGATCAACGCTATTATTAAACGTCGGCCACTTTGTAACATTAAAACCCTGTCGTTATTATAATAATTCTTCGTTCGACTCGAACAGTAATTTTCTGTTCGATCGTTAACGAGTCGACCGCGTTGGATTCAACAGCTTTCGTCTCGTTCTCGAGATAGACAGGCAACGAAGAAAACGAGAGACACGACGACGAGTAGTCTCGGCGTCTTGTTCGTCTGTTTGGAGTACGTATACAGAATGTACTGGCTACCAGGCAGATGCCAACAATGTGGCAAAGCTTTGATGTGACGTAAAATGGTCCGTTAAGCGGTCCTACGATTCCAATTTTATTCACGTGGCAACGATTAATATTTTTCATTACATTTTTATGATTCGACATGGGTGAAACGATCCAAAACCCGAAGATCTGACGTGACCGATGAAGCAGTAGAAGAGGAAAGAGAAATGTAGGAATATTAATTTGTCACATTCCTTAAATATTTGTCAGACGTATCTCAAGGCTCATAGAACTTTAAGCGAGGTCTTACGAAGATTTCAAGATGCAACCGTGGGTGCAGTTCGACATCGCTAGGACAATCGCGCGGCTAGCGAGGCCTCGAACGTTGGACGCGGCAGGTATTTTTATAAAGAACTAATAAAGAGAGAAAAGTGTGAACGTTAATTTAACTTGGC